AAAAAAAAAAAAAAAAAAAGAAATCAAACAGTAACAATGCTGACAGGGTTATGGGAGAAAGGAACACTTCTTCATTGTTGGTGGGATTGTAGATGGGTACAACCACTATGGAAATCAATATGGAGATACCTCAAGAAACTAGGATTAGAAGTCCCTTTGGAGCTAGCTATTCCTCTGCTGGGTATCTTCCCAGAAAACCTAAATGAATAATACACAGTGATATGTGCTCACCCATATTTATAGAGGCACAGTGTATAATTGCTAAAACTTGGAAATAGCCCAATTGTCCATCAACTGGAGACTTCATTAAGAAGATGTGTTTTTTAAAATAAAATGGGATACTATTCAGCCATAAAAAATGAGAAACTAGAGATATTTACAGCTAAGTGGATGCACGTTAAGACCATACACTGAAGTGAAATTAATAGGGCACACATTTTAATACCAAAGAGTTTCTCTGGTGTGAAAAACTAAAAGTATAATTGAGGATCAATTGGATAATTGATATTGTATAATAAAAAGAAAGTGTCTCAAGGTGTAGGGGAAGTGGCAGGGGTAGGGGAAAGGTAAGAAAGAAAAAGAAAAAATGTGATAAAATGAAAAAAATAGAAAAATGTTTTTGTAAATAGGGAAGGGGTAAGGGGGTGAAGGGAAGGCATGGTAATGGGGAAAAATAAGAACTACAAAAAATCCCATAAAGGTACAAGATACTAATGATTAATGTAACTGTATCATATACCTAAATTGTACCAATAAACTTATTGAAAAAAATAAAAACAGTTGATAAAATAAAATCTTTACATTTAATAAGAACTCCTTCAGAAAGGAGAAATCAGACTTTTCTTATTTAATTACCTCTCTGTTTAATGACTATTCCAACTTATGTCACATCTTTTTTTTTGTACAGTTTTGCACATCTTGATTATAGAGTGTCAGTATCTTTCTGGATAATAATACACCTTGTTTGAATGGTGCTGTAGTTTTGACTGATTGTACTATATAGTACAGCAGTATTATAGTTTTATGTTCAGTGATACGCTACAGTACTGCAGGTGAGAGTCATGCAAATAAAAGCAAAGTCACCAAGTTAGAGTTCCCTGTATTTCTTAATTCTGAATCTTGCAAATACATGCTGTATACAGTTCTGTATTAAATGAACTAGTCATAGAAACAGAATTAAATGGAGAATGTCTGTATTAAAGAGAATGAGT